TAGACCCATCCAGAGCCGGAGAAGCAGTCGTGGGCAGCGAGACCTATGCCCGCCACCCCTCTTTCCCAAGCGCCATCAGTGAACAAGTGAATTATGTCCGTGATCATGGTGCAAGACAATATTCGGGTGTTCTCGTGCCTCAAGAGACCGACTGTATGCTTGCAGAAATCACTCAAGTCCCAAGGGCTAAAATGCAGACCGCCTACGATCCTCGCAAGGATGTGCGAAGCGTGCTTCAGGGAACGTCCAGCGTAGAACCCCGATGCATACTGTAGCAACCCTTGGAGTACTTGCGCATCGTGTCTCTTGATCTCCCCTTTCAAGCTGATCTCTTGAAGACGGTCAATGATGCGTTCAATCCGACCCTGTTTGTTGGACAAGGAAACCTCGCCTTGCGAAACGTTCTCCAAGTTTAGGCTCATGCCCAAAACCTCAAACTGCTCAGCAAACGGCCTGCCCTTGGCACCTGTCTTGGCATGTGCCCACCCCAACAAGTCCAGCAAGGCGCTGGCCGATTCATCGGCGTTGTTGGCACTGCCCGCCGGGCACAGCAGCGGGAAGTCGTCGTAGAAGACGCCACTAGGCAGACACAAAAGACGATTAACCAAGTACCAAAGCGCCCTGGAAACCCGGTTAAAGGCGTAAACTGCGGCCGTGCTGCCAAACATTAGGGAGTTTGACAAGTAGAGCGCGTCGCGCCCTTCGGATTCACGCACTGCAATTACTGCCAGCGATCTATGGTCAGGGTGTACCGCTAGCTGCTTGTAAGCCTTGCTCAAATCCAAGCACTTCCCCTTCCACAGCTTGGCAGCTGGGTGGACTCGCCCACCTTGGATCTCTTTGGCCACATGGAGGGCCATTGAAGCTATGTAATCCGAGTCTTGAAGCCTAAGGTGAATGCTTGCACTATACCCCGCGTTAAGCTGCGACTCCAAGCAGTTGTCGATGGGGCGAGGCTTTTGGTCTGCACCTTGAAGTAAAACAAAGCGGCGAATGATCGTCCACCGCTCAGTTTTCAACCGACTAGAATAGAAACCTCGGATTTTTCGTAGTAAGGACCCTCTAAGAAACCCAAGGCGACTTCGTTGTCGGTTGCATCCTTCAAGATTTTTGCCTCCTCAGGGTCAACCCTTTCAAACTTGCTTAGCAATGCATCCCTGCGGGCAGCTGCAGTTTCGAACAGCTCATCTTCCGAGAGCCAAGCAGGAACAAACTTGTAATCGTAACAAGCAGGGCACTCCGACGTTCCTACCAAGCGCACTTCCTCCTTCAAGAAAGAAATCACACCCATATCATCATAACCCTCAGACTTCAACAAAGCTTCAAAGGCAAGGATCGACTTGCCCTTCATCACCTTAGCAACTGACGGGTCCATAGAATTGTGAAGCTTCTCTTCTGCATCACGCAATCTGTGGACCTCCTGTTTCACCTTTGCAATCGCCAAGTTGCGCCTTAAGGAAATGAGTTTGGGGTCCTTCAAAAGATTTTCCTGCAGCGCTTGCAATGTAACCTTTTCTAACGGGTTTGAAGAATCTACTGGGTGATTCACTTTCTTGGCCTCCTCAACAAACTCACCGGGTGTCCTATAGACTCCCACCTTCATCTCTACGTCACCCCTACCTGGGGCCTCCGGGATGGTCCCTCCCGGAGGGGTGTTACTCAACAAAGGTTGGGCCCTAGCCAAATCAGAAGCTCGCACGTTGCCACCCCCGATGGGATTGCGCAAGAGCTTCAAGTGTGGCTGTGGAGTGAAAGAAGCGGCTGGCATACGTAAGACTTGTTTGTATTCCGAAACCAAAGGTGCATGGCGCTTGGTTTGTTGGCCGAGCATGGCCAGCGACAAATCTTTGACACGTGGCTGGGGCATCAAGTTGTAACCTGCAGCCAAGGCATGATCGGCCAAACAGGCGGCATAGCGAGCAGCGAACAATTGAGGGTAGGCCGCCTCATCTTTGGTTGCATATCGCACTGTTCCGCACTCAACAATCTGACCCCAGGGCTTATGGGGATGGTCATTCTGGCACAAAGCATGCAATCGATCAAAGCAAGCGGCAGTGCACAACAGTTGAGTGCGTTTGGGGCGCGCACCGCCATGACAACACAAGTCGAATATCACAGGCGTGAGCTTTGGAAGAACATGAAGCTTGGGCTCGCCTGGCTCAAAGGCTCGTAAAACGTCCCAGAGATAGCTGTTGACAGGATTTTCAAGACTCACGACGACATCATCTTCAATGCATTTCCGCAAAATGCGGTAGGTCAATGCATACAACTTGTTCGCAGCCTCAAGACGCAATGCATCAATTGAACCTGGGACGATTGAAGGCAGTCCTAAGGGGAAATTCTTACTCCTAAGGGGTTTTGGACCTGGAGCTCCATTGCGCAACGGACGACCCCGAGCCTTACTGCTTGTACCACAAGGGGCACCCAAGTGGACTGCAAAGGGCCTGTGTTTCTGAAAGAAGTCCCAGAAAAGGGCTTGGCCCGAAGCTGATGACAAATCCAGCTGCAAAAGCGGCACAGTCGAGTCGCAATGATGGTGATCAAAGCTGTGAACCTGAAATCCTGTGTGGCGCAAAGCCCTTGACAAGGAACCCTTGCCAGCGAACACTTCAAACACAACGGGTTGCTTGGCTCCAAGCTGAGATGTCTGCAAAGGTTGAGGCACGCTGGGTGGCAACTGAAAACCTAGTTCATTTGCCAAAGAAATCTGATCAGGATTCAAAGATTCCAGCTGCTGAACGACCCATGTCACCAGAATCACCCTACGTCCTGTCCAAGGCTCTGTCTCATGATAATGGGACCAAGCATCGAAAAGCAGAGGGTTCATGCCAATCTCATGAACCTGTCCTGTCAACTCTTGTCCGTTCAGCTCGCGAACATCATCACCTGACCCCTCAATCCACAAACCTCCTTTCTGGAAATCGCTCAATCGGAAAATTGCATTCGGCCACTGTGCGTTTCGAGTGTCTTTATGTAACGGCGTACAGCCGTCAATGAAAATGCCACATGTGGAGAAAACATGACCTGGAAGACGCTCTCTCATGTAGCGGGTCATGATACGGCATGCAAAAGGAAAAGTGGAGCACTCATGGCGCAAGCCACGAAAGCCCCCCTGAGCATAGCATCCTGTGATGAAAGATTGCTGCACCTCCCTTGGCCCTCGTTGAATGCCCTTGCGAGGCAACAAGTCAACCAAAGTCAAAAGATCATCATTGGCAATTTGCTCAGGCTTCTTCAAACGAGCCTGAGCCCAACTCTCAGGATTACAAGCAGACAGGTCGCCTGTTTGTTGCGTGCCCTCATCCTTCCCTCCAAAGGTGGGCAAAGTCTCTGGAAGGGACCTTCAGGCTCCACCTTTGGGGCAATTGTTGAAAGAGTGGCTTCCAAAGCAACCCTTTCTCCAACACTTGTGATAGCCCTTGATGCAACGTCCATTCTTACAAGCATTCTTACACCCATGAGTGTTAAATGCAAAACACAGCGGCTTGTTGCTGTCGTCCTTCGTGACACACCCTTCTGGAAGGTCAAGTGTGCCCTTGCTGCCCTTTGAATTTCCTTTGTCTCCCTTAGTACCCTTCCTATTCTTACCATCGCCCTTAGGGTTCCAAGGCTTGTGTGGGATGTTTGGAACCTGTGGCACCTGCAAGGGAGCAAGATACTGCATCAACTCCGGGCTGCGTGACAGCCTAGCAATCTCGGCATCTAATGCCGGCGCAGCTCCTGGAGAGGCCGTCAAACGCCCCATCAAATTGTTGCTCGCAAGAACGAACATTTGCTTGTCGGCCTCAATGATTTGAGATAATTGGACACCCTGGAATCCCTTGGGCTGCACACGCTGTAGCACAGAGAACAAGAACTGAACGTGCTCCTCCATGACCCTGAAACTTGCCAAATTTGCAAGATCGAAGGCTAACGACCTTCGGCCCCAAGCTTGCCTCAATCGCATCTCTGACGACACATCGCACCAAAGATCTGCAGACTTTGTGGCAATCTTCAAGTTGTTATCGGCATCTATGTTGATGCTGCTATCACGCTTAAGGCACTGCGCTTCCTGCGCACGGCTTATCCACTTGCTGGGATGGTACTGAAGAACTCCAGTTTCAAGCATTTCAACGCAGAGGTCCACACAAGCATTAGCAGGCCTAGTCTCAGGAGTGAAGACCAAACCCCCAAGCGACCTCTCCTGCTTCGCCTGGCGATCCAAGCGTTCAGCCGCTGCTAACTTTTTTGGGTGTCCTTCCAAACTGGGTTCAACACGGGCACGGACCTCCTCAATCGCCATGCTGACTCCTTCGAAAAGGAGCCTTCGGAGGCTCGCCTTCTGAAACCCTGAAGGTCGCATGCCCAAACCATCAATCCACGCATCCACTGCCTCATCGGTCAAAGTCGTAGGAGTAGCCGACACTGCAAAAGCCAGCCGCCCAAAGGTGTTGTAGCTGTTGTCCAAAAGGCCTTGCAATGTGTCCTCGGTCAGGCCAATTTTCCTGGCCCGGTCCACAAAGGCGGCTTCAGAATCCAGATTTGCCGATGCCATTGGAATTTCACAACCCTAAATAATTATCTCCCCTTGACTCAAACATCAATATAAGTCCTCATCCCTCATATTTAGGCGTCTCGCTGCAGACACCTTCAGTTTCATGTGATGACAAGCCGCTCTCTTGCAATCTCATTTCTTGCAACCGACTCTTCAAGTGCAGCGCAAGTGCAATCATGATCTGTTTCCTGCTCCCCTCTCTCGTACACCTTCCTTCGAAGGTGCACAGGGAAAAATGCACTCCAGCAATTTACACAACTCATCTGCAGCGCGTATTCTCATGGCTACATTGAAATTTGCCCCGACAAAGCCTCGTCTCCCCTCTCTCGAGCACCCCCTTTCATGGTGCCCAGGGATTGATGGAAATCCGCAAACACACGATGCATATATCACCAGCCCATCTTCCGGAGGCCTCTCCCAGACCTCCAGGGCGCCGCGCTGTATTGTTTCTGACACCTCCAGCTCACTCGTTCATGACTCGTGAGCACTATGCACACGTCCGGGTCATCTGCCCCCACTCCTGAATACTTGGAGTAGCACGGGGTGCACATGCGCCCACAATAAAAATAGTCTTCATCTCGCAGGCAGTGTGCAATCCCCGAAACATTATGAATCCTGCATCTAGCGACATCGACCTCAGCAAAAGGAGCCCTCACTGCAGGAAGTCCTGGAAGCTCTAGCGGCCCAACCTCCGCGCCATCCGACGCCGAGCCATCAGACTCGCCGTCTGCTCGGTCCATCGGCTCCGCAATGAACTCGTCCTGACCAGCGTTCCCATCCTCGGGTCGGCCCTCGCTGCTAATCAGGGCATTGGCAACCTGAAGAACCCTCATAGCAGGATCCAGATCAGGATTGAAGGCGCCGCTCCTGATCGACCGGTAGATTGCCAGCACCTTCCCCATTAAGCTTGTGTAAGCCTCTCTGCTGTATGTGACCATGCTCTTAACTCCTGGTTGGATGTGATGTCCCAACAACAAGCGCTCTGCTTTGCTCTGTCGATCTGGAAGCCCAAGTTAAAAGGGTCACCTTCAGAGAATGAGATCCCACAAGCTGCCTACCAGTGCCACTGTCCCCCAAAAACTCAAGAAGCCAGGAGGTTGCCTCAGCAGCACCCATCGGGGTGGAACCCCATTGATCAAGTCGAAGGGACCAAGTGGGAAGCGCAAAACCATCAGGTCCTTCGCCGAACTTTATGCCACACTCCCTCCGAGCATTAATCCACAAGCGACCCCAAGAGCATTCTGTAAGCCCCTGAGCCAGAGCCGCATAAGGAGTAAACCTCGTCTTGGCCTCCTTGTTCAGGGACGTCTTGCTGCCCAAAGCATCCCCAAAAATTATCTGGCTTTCACCAGTTCCCAAGAGCTCTAAAAGCTTCAAGCGCTGTGCATCCTTCCAACGGCAAACAGCATGTGTGCAAAATAGGATCTGACCCAGAATGCACTGCACCACTGGACCCGCTCGTGCCATTGTTTGTTCCAGCTTCTCCACCTGTTCACAAGACAAAGGATCTCGCTGGACAAGCGGCGCCTTCGATATGTAGCAAGAGTGGGCAACTCCTCTGCATCTAGACGAAAGCACCACTTCCAGGTCCATGTGTAAAAATCGAGCAACCGAATGCAAAAAGTGCAAGCTTTCAAGTGGAGCCGTAGCCCCACAACCTTCTTCCCTTAAAACTGTAAGAGCGCCATACAAGTCGGCCTCAGACATACGCCACGGAGAAGCGACGTCCTGCTTGTACAATTGCAATACCAACCTCTGCAGCGATCCTGCCCTCTTTGTAAGGGTGCCCGAAGATTTGTTGCTAAAAGCGTCGCTGAAGCTTGCTGCTATAATCTCCTCGGTTTCCCAAGATCCCGTCTGCCTGACAAGGCTCTTACCCAAAGCCGTAGCCAGCGGATCAAGAAGCACCAGTGCCTTGAGCTTCTTGAGCGAATGGTTTCGCTCATCTTCGTCGCTTCGCTGAATCCTCACACCCTTCAATCGCCGCTCTATCGTCCAAGGAATCTGGGAGGCTTCTTCGCCCCCAAAGGTTTCCAGTGGCTCGGGGTGATTCAAAGTCTCGCGCACCCCGACTGAGGGAGCAAGTAAAAATCCAGTCTTCAAAACCGATCTCGCTGAAGGCCTTGCAAAAACCGGATGATTCTCCCAAGCTTGTTTTGGCCTCTCCAACCTAAGCTTCTTGAAAGCATGAGCAGCTGCAGCCCTAGCAAAAGAGCCGTCTTCCAAAGGAGGCCCTAGCCCGACCTCCTCTGCGCTTCCAGAAGAACGGCTTAAATGCGACGGGCCATCTGCACCAGTACTAATTTCAGGTACCTGCTCCCTCACAGAACCATACCAAGCTGCTTCCCCTCCGGGTTCGCCTTCAAATTCATCAGCAGCAGTAAGGTCATTGCCACTATTCATAAATAAATGCAAATCATTATCCTCGTCTCCATCCTGGACAGCCCCACCAGCAGGCGAAGGAGGTGCACTACCCCCGATGCTTGGAACCTCCGAGCTTTGAATCAGCCCCCAGGGGCTGCTCTCAGAGTTGTTCACAGATGGGGCCTCGTCCATTGGCGCCGAAGCGCATGAGCTGCTACAAGCTTCGTGATTAGCTCCCCGGGCCTTTAACACAGATGACGGGAGCCGTAGCAGCCTCAAGAAAATTTTTCTCTCACCCTTGAGCCAAAATGGCTACCCTTGAGATGCGTACGACCGGAAGCAACTGATGAATTCCATGCTCAGCACGTAGAAAAACTTTCCGATGTTCAAACTTCAACAGTTTAAGTTCACAAATCATGCGTTCTCAAAACATGCAAAAGACAAACAGGCATCATGAGCACCAGAAAACCCGCACTCTCCCCGTGCTTACCCCATCCACGAAAGAAAGTCTAGTCGGCGCGCCGAAGACGCCCATGAATCCAAACTGTGGCCCAAAAGCTATGTGGGCAGCGGGGATGTTGAAAAGAAAAGAAAAGGCGGGCAGTCTACAGCTCGCGTGAAACTCTACTCTATATATATATATATATATATGTATTTCGTTCTGTATTGATGCAAAGTTGAAAAAACTCAGGATGCGCACAGATGTTTTGTCACGGCCATGCCGAGAAAATGGGGCACGTACGAGTGACACAAACTTCAGTTTGATCGCGGCACTCAGAGACTCAGAGTGCCGAAGGCTTCATGCACAACTGATGTGCAGCCTCTCTTTCGCCCGGGTTGGGAAGGTGGGGAAGACTTTCCCGCACGCACTACGAGTGAGCCCAAAACTTCGCGGACAAATTCATCTCGCCGCGGGGGCGCAAAC